TTTTTTTTTTTTTTTTTTTTTTTGTGGGTCATATTATGTCACGCTGATGCATATAGTTGTATTCAAGTAATTATAATTCTGGCAGTCCATTCTAGAGCTTTTTCATGCATAAACCATTAGTCTTGGGTTTACACATTCTTGATTGTAACGAATACCAAGTATAAGTTGGCCAAGTGTTGCATGTCTGGAACATTTGATACTGGGAAACATTATGATTTTCTTAAAAGAACTAAATGGGTCCACTTTGTGCCCAGATATCCGAAGGCCATTGAGATATATGAAGAGATAGCACGACACTCTCTAAATAATAACTTACTGAAGTATGGAGTTAAAGGTCACCTTCTTAATGCTGGTCTTTGCCAGCTCTGCAGGGGTGATGTTGTTGCAATAACCAACGCATTAGAGAAATACCAGGTAATTCTTGTGTTGAGATAGTTGCTTACACCATTAGACATTTTGAGTGTGTTTGTATGCATGCTTGGGTCACTAAACATACCCATGTTTTCATTTGAAGGAATTGGATCCTACGTTTTCTGGTACCAGGGAATACAAATTGCTAGCGGTATGTCACATATCTTTAGTATTGCTTCTCTGTTCTATGTTTTGCTTTGCACCTTCTGTGTTGCATCTTGGCGTAGTTGTGCATCTTCTATTCCGAAGTGTTTATTTAGCTGTAACGTCTTATATCTTGTTATTTTCATTGCTTATGTTACTTTTTTCCCCACTAAGATCAGTCCAAGGTTGATGTGTGTTCTTGTATTCTAGCATAGATGATATTTATCCTCTTATTTTGGTCAACCAAAAGTGAAAGTTTGAGCTGATGATATAATTGTACATTTTGGTTGCAGGATTTAGCTGCTGCGGTTGATGAGGAAGATGTTGCTAAGTTTACTGCTGCCGTCAAGGAATTTGATAGTATGACTCAACTGGTATGTCTATTGTTATTCAGGTTGTCTCTATTGTTAATATGCTGCAGTCGAGGAACTCTGTTCTTAATTTCTGTTTAGTAAAACAAATAATTATTTTGACTCCAAACATGTTATGGACATCTGCCGGTATTGTTATAGAAGTTGTCCAATCATTCTGTCAATGCTCTTCTAGGAACTATGAGACTGTTGAACTACTTAAAAGTAGTAGTTGGGTCTTTTTTTTTTTTTTTTTGCCGTCTCTGTCTTTATACTCACTCACTTATTATGTGTTTATATTCTTCCTACGAAAAAATGGCACGGTTGTATTATCAACCTAGTCCTTCAGAAGTGAAAAAAAGCATGCTGAATTAATCTTGTTCTGTTTGTTCTATTCAATTTCCATCCTTGGTTATGGAAAGCTTTTGGGTGCTTTTGGATTTTTATAGGATGCTTGGAGGACAACACTCTTATTGCGAGTAAAGGAGGCGTTGAAAGCGAAGGAGCTGGAAGAGGATGATCTTACTTAATCACTTGTTTCTTCTCATTTTTCTATCTAAGTGCTTTGTGATGGTTGTCTCGTTGTGCTTTTATTACTGAGGTTTGTGTGTAATATAACTCATATTCCTTACATGGAGTGGATATGATTGCATTTTTAACAATGTGGCCGTTGTGACTAAACAAGTTTACAGTATACAGGTCATCCATTTTATGAACTCGGTTGTATTGGATTTGCTGGGATCACAGTGGATTCCTATTTCGCCATTTCTAAGTTTGAAGAATCCGTCTTGTATTTGAATTTGTCGAACTATTCCAGCATTCTTGTCAGAAGCTATTTTTTACTTTTCTGTTTCTTTAACTGTTTTGGATGAATGATAAATTAATTTTAAATTATAACTGCGAAGAAATATAAGTTTTTGTAGCTTAAAATTGAGTTTAAGTCATTAAAAAGTTGGTTCAGAACAAAAAACATATAATATCGAAATGTGAAATAGGTCATATTGCTCGTGGGAATATGCAACGACTGGGCCCTATTCCAACCTTGTGATACTCATCGCCCCGCGATAAATCAAGCGTTGTCGGGCACAACCAGGTCGCGATCCCGTTGTAGGGGTGATCCTTGTAGCACCAAATCAAGCGTTGTTAGGCACAACCAGGTTGCGATCCCGTTGTAGGTGTGATCCTTGTAGCACCAGTTGGCTAGTGCCTACAAACAGATGGTTAGGTCAGTTGCGTTCATTTCTGTCTGAATTTAATAAATAAAGGTGTCTTTTAGCCAATGTTCTGAAAACCGGACCGGTCATCGAACCAGTCAAGCTACCGGTTCAATGATTCACTGGGCCGACCAGTGGTTAAACCGGTTGGATCGTTTTTTAATTTATTGATAATCTTAAATATATATAATCTTTCATAAATATAGATAACTTAAATTTTTAAGTTATTTAATTTATTGATATTTTGAATATATAATATTTTACAAATATTAAATATAGTTGACTCATTCTTTAAAGGATTGATCCAACAATTAACAATATATAGATTAAGAAATAAAAATAAAAATAAATAAATAATATGAGATGTCGAATTAATTGGAATTATATTGATAAATAATTATTTGATTCTTATGTGATTCCTTGTTTGCTAACTAGTATGTAACCCGTGCGATGCGCAGACTGTATTTACTTTGTAGAATATTAAAAATTAAAATGTATTAATAAATAAAAGAATGATAATTCGTAGAAAATTGTCAAACCATAAAATATTTCTGATGCAAAAAAATATATTATTTAAACTTTCTTGTACACAACATCATTTGTTCAATAACTGAGCAACTCGTCGTCCCCACAAACTAATATTTTCAACACTTTTGTATTACTTACACGCGAAACAAACAACATAATTGTCCGTGACTAAAAATCGATTTCTTTAAAAACATGCCAACATACAATAAATGTTGACCTTGACTCTTTTTGATCTATTACTTAACATGCCAACGTACAATAAATGTTGACCTTGACTCTTCTTGACCTATTACTTACATGCTTAACAACATACAATTAGTCGTGATCAATTTTTTTTTTTTTTTTTAAGAACATACCAATGCACATCTCTTATCTATTACTTACACGTAAAAACAACAACATATAATCGGTCGTTGCTAAGAACCAATTTCTTTAATAATATGCCAATGCACATGAAGACTGACCCTAATATTAAATGAAACCCTAAGATTAGAAGTAACTGGTGCTCTAGAACTTAAATGAAATCCTAAGATGGATCTTTTTATAATAAGATAATTTACTTAGGCAGTCAGACAATGAGCTGTTAGTTTAATCTATATATATATATATAATTACTAGCTAATAGCATTTAATAAAACCTATTTAATTTTACCTATGTGGCAATTTAACATTTTTCCCTCCAAAAACCGTTACTTTTGATGTATTTAATCTTTCATTAATTATTAAATAATCAATACTAATCACTTCAAAATTACAAAAATCATTTTGAACTTTTGATTACTGACAGTTGACCATATAATGTGTTGACCGTATAATGTGATTAGATGTTATTATTGTGGTTACATTTAAATTATTATTTTTTTAAAAAAAATAAAAAACGTATTTGAAATTCTTAAATAATAAATTATTCACAAAAAAAGACGTACCAAAATATACATTACATCCAATCAGATAAACGCAATTTAAAAAAAAATAAATATTCCAACTTTTTTAATTGTAAATTTTGCCAGAAAAAAGGTCAAAGAAAAATAATTAATCATTATATGCATACAAATAACTCACAATACTTTATTTACATCTGTGCAAATGCACAGGGTCGAATACTAGTATCGATTATACTTGATTAGCTATATAATATTCACTGATATTTATATATTTTTTATACAAAAGGCTGACCATGACTGTTAAATGGAATCCCAAAATCAGAAGAAACTAGTGCCGCTAGAACTTAAATGGAAGTCTAAGATGGATCTATTTATAATATGATAATTTGTACAACAGTTTGACAAATGAGTTGTTAGTTTATCATTTTAATATCGATACTTGATTAGCTAAATAATATTCTCTAATATTTTTATATTTTTTTTTATTTTGTTTAAAATAACAATAAACATGTATGTTTAAAATAATAAAAACACTAAACTATTTTACAACGTGTGTAAGATTATCTAAAATATACTATATTATTTTAAAAAAATGTAAGGTCACCTTTCTAAATTATTTTATAAGTAAAATATGCCAAAAAAAAAGTTCAACACCCACACATATATACACAACATGTTAAAATATACAAAATAATACATGTGAATAATATGTATTAAAGTCTAAAAAATATTAGTAATTATATCTACAAAAATATGTATGAATAATACAAAATATTAATTTACATCACACTAATTTTATGAGAGAGATTATACATTGTAGATATAAAATGTAAAATATTAGTGATTAGACATTACTTCACGCTAATTTTTTCAAGCCGAACAATTTTTAATTGACTGTGTGAGAACTTATATATTTTCAAACTGAACAATTTTTAATTGGACTTCTTTCCTATTATATGTGTGACAACTTTTTAGGTAGTAAATATATATATATATATATATATTTGGCAATAAATTTATATTTTGTGTACACAAAAACAAAAAATCGATTGACTATACAAAATTTTAAAAATTTTTCTTTTAAAAACAATTGACAAAAAGAATACCAATAAAGGGAATTGGTGTATATCTAAAAAAAAAAGATTTGTATATATCTCATATAAAATCGTTCATTTTCAAATAATCTGCTACAATGAAAAATATATTTAAATATTAATATAAATATATTTTGATATTAATATTAATTTATATTTTGTAATTGTTGGTTCTAATAGATATGATAAAATAAAAAAGAATCCTCACAAATGAGAATTCTAAAACTGACGCCATGTAAATTTAAATATTACTATAATTATTTTTTTTGTGTGTATGTAACATATATGCTAATCCAAAGCAATGATTCTAATAAATCTGTTAAAATAAAAAAGAATCTTTGATAAATAAGAGTTCCAAAATCGGCTATATATAACTATTTACATAATCTTTGCCTACAAAACCACTATCCACGTAATTAAAGAAAACTAAGAATTTATTAAAATAAACACAAACTGAAAATCGAGTTATATGAAAATTATGCAATTAATGATTTATTTTTTATTTAGATCATATTATATTATTTCCATCTATAGTAGGTAATTAATGTTTTGGGCGGAAATGCTCATAAAAAGTTCGGGTATGAAAAAACCATATGTTATAAAAACCTAATTTTAAACAACATTATTAGTTTGATTATTGGGCACACTACAATAAAATGATAAAATTCCAATGGAAATCTATTCCAAAAAAAATTATTCCAACGACAATTCCAACGGATATTTCATTACTATTATTTCCGTTGGAAATTTTAAATGGATTCCAATGGAAATTCCAACAAAAATATTCCGTTGGAATGAATTTTCTATTGGAATTTCCGTTGGATTTTGACAATTCCAACGGTGGATTTTTCAACGGGGTGGAAATAAAATTCCAATGAAATTTGCATATTTCAACGGAAATTCCTACGATAAAAAAACCATTGGAAATATAGCCATTGGAATCATCAAATTTCTAAGATTGACACTTACTCTTGTTTATCGTCATGACAATATAAATGAATGTTTATTTAAAAAACTTAATCTTTGAAATGTAGTAATCGTGTGTTATTTTTTAATTTCGTGATTGATGGACTCTTTTATTAATTAGTTGGTTTGAATCAATATATAGCAAATTTTGTATCGTTATTAGAATTTTTAAATTAATTTGTGTAAATGCATAAATAAAAAGAGACCTAAACTATGATTTTTTTTCATCTTTTGAAATCAAATAAATGACAAACACTATCTTTTTAAAATAAATAATGACAATGATTATAACATTGTATTATCAAAACCAATAAGGTATATAAAATTTGTTTTCCTTTTCAAATCGATAATGAAGAAACAAGTCTAATTGGTGAAAAGATGATATATACAATCATGATTTTAGAAATCTGATATATACAAATCTTAGCATGCGGTTTCAAATAATTTAATAATATAATAATAGGCTGAATGAATTATGATTCAGATTCATGCAAAGAAAATTTTGAACAGATTTCTAAAATCATGATATATACAAATCATGATTTTCCTAGGAGATTTATTCGGATTTGCAAATTGTTTGGAAATCACGATATCTAAAATCGTGATTTATTTGGATTTACATTTGGATTTCCAAATTGTTTTGAAAAATAGGAAATTTATTCAGATTTTGATTCCTTATTGGTTACCAATGTAAAAGTACTTGATGTTATTCCTAAAAAAAAAAAACAGAAAAAGCTGATTTACTATTTTTAGGAGATAATTAATGAAAGTGGCGGGAAATTGTTTCTAAATTTGATTTATGTTAATCCTTATTATATAGGATTTGATTTGATTTGATTCAACC